CTTAAATAATTTTATTAAATTAATTTTGAATACTCGAAAGAATGTATGCATAACTAAATTACTTCGTGTGCTATTTTCTGCAAAATTACATTTTTCATTGAAAATTTTAATATTTTTAAAAGGCAACCTTATGTTATGGGTTAATGTACAGAGCAGTAGTGATGATGATGATGATGATGATGATGATGATGATGATGATGATGATAATGGTAATGATAACAGCAATGATAATAACGATGAAGATGATGACGATGATAAAACGCAAACTGATGATGCAAATGATGACCATGTAAATTTTTTATATTTTTTACCAGTCTTCTTCTACTATTTTTTATTTTTCTCATTGAAAATTTCAAAACAATTAAATGTTAAGGAGCAATTTTTGAAATATTTAATTATCAGAATTCTTAATTTTTGTTTCTATTTCTGTATGAAAATGGAATGGATTAATTAAGAAGGCTTTAAAACAAAAGTGACTGTATAATCTATTCTGTTGTAGAGTTCGATGAGTGAAAATGATATTAATGTTGAGATGAATGGTGATATGATAACAGTAACATCTATGAAACGAAGACCAGATTTATTCATGTCATCGGTATTTTTTTTACAAAATTTTAACTTCTTTGTTTGTCAAAACTTCTTAATATGTTAATACGATGATGTCATCCATTGAAGTGAAGTTTCATTGCATACATTTTTTGACACTCTTCTTCTCACAGGTATTCAGGAACGAAATCCTACTATATTTTCGTTCTCTATTGATGTATTTTACCACACCTTCGTATTCCTATTAATTTTTCAAAATTAAAGCAAAGAAAAATAGTGCAATTTAAAGATTCTTGAATCTGTTTTCATATTACATGCTTTCCCGGTTTCTTTTGGATTTCTTCAAAGAAGAAGAAGATCGTGGAAACTGAGATGATCCTATTCTCGATCAAATTGATTTTTTATCATTTAATCCTATCCTTATCATTTAAACCTTTTCTTTTATCATTGAAGCCTTTCCATTTTATTTATTGCATAATGTTTGTTTAACAGCTAATCTATCTTGTTAACAAGAAATTTTTCAATTTGTTTCCATTTAATAATCATGAAGATATGATAATGTTATTTGCTGAAGAAATCTTTGTAAAACAAAATCAATTTGTTGATTTTATATTTTATTACTACAAGTACGACATTATTTGGATGAATAATTTCGGAATTTTTTCATTTTTTTTTTTTCATTTCGTCTTTTTTACTCCTTTTTTGAAAAGTTTCGTGAATTAAGGAAGAAAACTCGGGAATACTAAAAATGCCAACAATCAATGTGATACCAAATACACCAGTGGACAGTTCTTCAATTGGTGAAAAGGTGAGCAAATAAAGTATACCGTTACATTCTATTTAATACAATAATGATTCATCTTTGAAAATTTCAAAATCAAATTTCTTTCCTTTTTTTTTTTTTCTGTTTATTACTAGTAATTTATTCAATCTCCAATTACGTTGTTAATTAGTTTCCTAATTTAAGGTGAGCTGCTACGTTATTCTTTCCTTCGTGAAAAAAAAAAAAGCTTGAATTATACTTCCTCACCTACTGTTTCATCAATATTGTAATACTTTGCTGTGATTGAAATTTCATTTAAAATTTAATCCGAAATTTAATTTTTTTTCCAGGATACAGATAATAGTTCCGCAACAACATCTGGTGCTGATGAATTTTCTGATAAGGTATGCTACTGATAAAAATCATTGCTTATTACTTGTGTTATTTTGATTGATTTGGGTAAGGTCTATAAAAATTCTATTCATTTTTATTGTATTTTAAATATATTTCAATCATTTTTTGAGGTAACAATTTTTTGAATATTTTGGAATTTTATTTGTGATATTATTTGTAAATGCTATAAACTATTATTATTTTCCAACACTTTCTCATGTATCAGAATTTTGCATAAATTTAGGATGAAGAACTGATTCGCAGAAGCTCATCATCCGATGATTTCGAATTTCAGGATACAGATCAATATGAGAAAGAATCACATCCGAAAAATAGTAATATCCTTTATTGATAAATGTATAACTTATCATATTTAATTCTTCGTTAATCATTATTAATATTTTCAAAATTTCTATCAATAATATCAAATGGATTTTTACAGGTTTACATTTAAATATGCTACAACAATATCGTGATAAATGTGAACATTTATGCAAAATAACACCGGAACAATTTGCAATAACACATAATTTATTGTTGGAAAATGATTGCCAATATGATGATAATGGAGGTGTATCGAGTAGAAATGTAATTTTACATCAGAAGACACTCTCTGCTTCACTCTTCTCCGTTAATTTAGGTATAATAATTGATTGATTGATTGATTGATTGATTGATTGATGTAATATTTAAATATCATTAAAATATTGATAATAAATGCAAACAAAACTGATTGATTGATTGATTGATGTAATATTTAAATATCATTAAAGTATTGATAATAAATGCAAATAAAATTTCAGGTAAAATGAGATCAATGCGTTTATTTTTTACCGCTGATGATTTAACATCTGGGCAATTTGTTATTGCAACATGGGATTCACATTACAAAATTTTACATTTTCATCATGGTGGATTGGATAAATTAGCGCAATTACTTGAACAATGGAGTGCTATTAAAACAAAAGCTGTTAAAGATGTAAGCTATAAGTATAGATAGATGTAAGCCATGATGTAAGCCAATACTTATGGCATTAGCGAAAAGTGCTAAAGAAGAAAAAAAAAATGCTAACTATTTTTAGGAATAAAATACTGAATTTAGACCTTTTTTTAGAAATTGCATGAAAAACAAAAAATTATTCCCTAATGCAAAGTTTTTTTTTCTGTTTTTTTGCAAATCATTTTCTAATTTTTAATTAGTTAGAAATAAAAATAGAATAGAAATTAATTTAATTTAGGAAAATTCTAGCAATACAAGGAAATGATTATTTATTTAGCAATATTCAAATGTTTGTTTAGGGTTCACCTTCACCAATTCCGGATCGGCAATTCTTAATATGCCAACCAAAAGTTAGTAAAATGGAACTTGATCCAGAAGAAGGTCTATATGAACGAGTCAGTTGGGAATTTTGGAAATCATACAAAAATCAAGATGGTAGTATTGATGATAGTTTCACCATGAGGAAGGTTATAAATAAAGATCTTTTTTTTTCCCAATATTTTTTCTTTACTTTTAAAAATTGAAAATAATAAATTAAATATGATTTTTTTTTAGGCTATTTATTTTGCCACTATCGATCCTACACTTCGTAGAGAAGTTTGGCCATTTTTATTGCGTGTATATCCATGGGCATCAACCCTTGAACAACGCGAAATTATACGTAATGATATTTTCATTGAGTATCAGAAGATAAAAAGCAACGGTACAATTTTAAATTTTTAAGTTTGAAAACATTTTTTTAATTGAAATTAGTAAAAAAAAAATTTTCATAATATAGTGTAAGATAATTTTACGTATGAGATGGTTGATTATATCAAAAATACTTTTACATTAAACGTAATGAATAAATGTTCTATAAAATTTAGTTTATAAAATGTAAAATTAGCTAATTAATTGCATGAAATTTTTTAATTTTACAAATTTTATTTGATGAATATTTCATATGATTAATTTATGAAAAATCATTTTAGAATGAAAAAATCATTTAAAACATCGTGGAATAGCATAGAAAGTGCTATAATTAAGGATGTTATCCGTACGGATCGTTGTAAACCATATTTTGCTGGTGATAATAATCCAAATATTGACACAATGAAGTAAATAAGCATTGTTTACTATTAAAATATGATCTTTTAAAATTAAAATAAAAATTTTGATGAAATTATGGCATATGTTGTTATTTAAAAGAATTGTTGAATGTAATTTCTTTTTTTTTTCCTCTCTCTTTCTCATAATTTTAATTTTCAGGAATATTTTATTAAATTATGCAATTGCATATCCAGAAATAGGTTATGTACAGGGTATGTCAGATTTATTAGCACCACTTTTGAGTACCATTCATGATGAATCTGATACATATTGGTGTTTTGTTGGACTTATGCAACAACAAATGTTATTTGTATCAAATCCATTGGATGAACGAAATGTAATGGAAATTAATTTAGTAAGCGTTAAAATTCTTTTATAGGAAATATTCACAATTAATCTTTAAATATTTGTTAAAAAAAGAAAAAAAGAAAAAGAAAAAATTTATTAAGTGCAAAAATTTTATATTTTTTCAAAAAATTTATCTTCTATAAGCAGTATCCATTTCATCTTATGGTACTGTAAAATTCATTTTTCAAATAGCATTTCTATTAATATTTAAAATAATAAAATTTTAATAATTCTTCATTCTTTTATATATTTGCTAAGGATTTACAATGTTGCAATATTCGTATGATTAAAGAGTAACAATAACATTTTATTTGTTTATTTTTTATTTTATTTTATCTATTTATTTATTTATTTTTTCTACAATCTAATATTTCAGTTATTCAGTTTAAAAGAAAAAAAAAAGGAAAATCCCATTTTGCAGAAATATTTACGTGAATTATTGAAATTATTTGTACCAGATTTTTTTATGCATATCGCAAGTTTGGGTGCAGAAGCATTGGAATTAATGTTTGTTCATCGATGGATATTATTATGTTATAAGGTTTTCATTGTATTCATTAATTTCATTTTTATTTCTAACAGATCGTTATATTGAATTGTTAATTTGGATTTAAATTTTTATATTAATTATTTGATTATTGTAGCGTGAATTTCCTGAAATTGATGCATTACATATTTGGGAAGCATGCTGGGCTCATTATCGAACATCATATTTTCATTTATTCATTGCTGTTGCTATTATTTCAATTTATGGCAAGGATGTTATTGAACAATATTTACCAAATGATGAAATTTTATTGTACTTTAGTTCACTTGCTATGCATTTAGATGGTAATGTTGTGTTAAAAAAGGTTAATATTTGATATTTGATATCAAATAAATAATTTATCTGAATTGCTAAAATTATATTACTGTTCATTTTGTTATGCATTTAATTATTTTATTCATTTAATACGGTTAATTTAATTGGTTTTATTCATAAAATAATATTCATAATTATCATCAGAACCTAAAAATAAGTTAAATGAAATGAATTTTTCATTTTGAAATTTCAAATTTCAAAAATTTAAAAATTGTATAAATTTCTCAAATGCTTTTCTTCGCATATATATCTTTGCATATAATTATATTATAGTTATAATTTATGTCAAGTTACTACGGTATAAATTTATAACATATATAATTTTATTGTAATTAGATTGTAGTTATAACTTATTTCGAGTTATTGTACGAATTATTTTAACATATAATTTGATAATTAAGTTTTTATAAAAATATGCAAAAAGAGGATGAATAATTTATTGTGGATTTTATTCCAGGCTCGTGGTTTACTGTATCAATTTCATCATCTTGATAAATTACCATGTACATTGGCGGATCTTTGCGAACCGGATACAGAACAATGGGATACAAATATTCAACAGAGAATTTATGAATGCACCAAAATTCATGGTGATAAAGAACCATGCCCATTTGCGGAATCTAATTGAAATCTATCTTTTATATTTGAGCCTTTTTTTTTAATTTTTTAATTTTTTGTTTTTTTTTTATTATGATTTTTAATGATCAATACTTTTTTTTTCTTTTACTTCATTTTAACTATTATTCATTTCAATCTTTTTCATTTCTTCTTATGTTACATCATCTTTCCGTATGTTTGTTTAACTTATTTCTGTTTAATGATTAAATTTTATTTCATTCATTTTTTTTTTCTCCCCATTTTTAGCATCAAATTACTCTTGAAATAAGCATAATGCATGTTGAATAAAAATACGTAAGGGAAAAAGAAAAAAAGATTATCAAAATATGAATTCGAATTATTATTTTTACAATTCTGTTACTAATTAATGGCTAATATTTGATAATAAAAGTTTAAAATAAATGGTTATTAACAAATAATCATAGAAATTTTCCTTGTAAAAATTGCTACCTTTTTTCAATGTTTAATTCAAATTATATCATGTAAAATAATCATTTGTTTATCACAATTTTTTTTTTTTNTTTTTTTACATTAGAAAAT